CATTTTGAAATGTCCATGTAAGCAAAAGTGTTCAAGCATGCCAAGTCTTACTGTAAGGTGCACATCTTTCTGTATACAGTGCATTAACATGTTGTACCTATGGGTTTGGAAGAAGCTCCAAAACAGCAACAYGTAGGAACTGAAAGCAGAATGCAAAAGAAATTCTCATTTGGAGGCCTCTGTACTGTTCAGCTCCCTGTGAGGTTGGCAGGATTGCTCCCAGGCTTCGGTTTTCATGTCTGGATTCCTTTGGATCAGCTGCCTTTGTTTTGGGCAGAAAGCCTTTGTGTTTATTTCTATACGTGTTATATATATGAAGCCCCCTGTACATKATTTTGTTGTTTGTTTTTCCCTCTTAGATTACTCCTTGACTAGCGCAGACCTGTCTGCCCTGCAGGGATTTAACTCCCCAGGAATGCTGTCCCTGGGGCAGGTGTCTGCCTGGCAGCAGCACCACCTCGGTCCCGCGGCCCTCAGCTCTCTTGTGTAAGTACCGGGGTCCCGGTGCAGGGCACGCTGGGGCTGCTTCTGCCTCTTCAGCTGCACCAGGGGAATATKGAGCACATTTTAACCTCTTGTCTGTGCTGCAGAACACTCGTGTGTCATGGTGTGTATCCCTTCAGTCATCTCCAGCCAATGAACCGTGTGTGTCTCTGCAGGCTCAGCTTGTCACCAAGGAGGCACCTGTGAGGTGACTGAAATGTCTGGCAGTAGGAAATATTTGTTTGTTCTGAACTTCTATAAATGCAGCTCAGACCTTTAATTAATGCTTTTTTCACCTTTGCTTTTCCCAGTAAGGTGCATTTATTTATGTGCTGAGCCCCAAGGCCTTACCATCRCAAACACATGAATTGTCACTTGGTTTTCATTTTTTGCGTTCTCTTATTCCCATCTTTTGGTTTTCTTTTCCCAGCACTGGCAGCCAGCTATCTCAGGGTTCAAATCTATCCATTAACACCAACCAAAACATCAACATCAAATCGGAACCGATCTCCCCTCCCCGGGACCGCGTCACCCCCTCYGGGTTCCCGCCGCAGCAGCCGCAGCCGCAGCAGCCGCCGCCGCCGTCGCGCCAGGAGCTGGGGCGCTCCCCGGTCGACAGCCTGAGCAGCTCCAGCAGCTCCTACGAYGGCAGCGACCGGGAGGATCCCCGCAGCGACTTCCACTCGCCCGTCGTGCTGGGGCGGCCGCCCAACGCAGAGGATCGAGAGAGYCCCTCGGTAAAACGAATGAGGATGGACACGTGGGTGACATAAACCCGCGGTGTCGCCCTTTCAGTTTTGTGTTCTCAAMATGAACTGTCCTGACATATCTAAATTTATAAATAAGGACGTGAATAAGTATATTTATATGTATATACATACGTGCATATATATATCTTCACATGCATATATATGTGCTAGTGTGTGTAGCATACACCAATCATCAGGCACTTACTACAAACTCTTGTATAGCTGCAGATGTCCCTTGGTAAAACGTAACAGAACAATCCCTTAGGTTTGATCTCTAGTCTGGCACTTACCTGGACTCGTGTGTAACCCCAGCCCGGCCCTGGCAGAGCGGTGTCCCCGCAGTGTCTCMTCCTCCTCCACACCCGAGCCGTGCGAGGGCTCGCCTGTAGTACCGTCCCTGTGTGTAGTCAGCTCTATGGTTACTCGTAGTTAAGAAATAATTGCTTTGTAGCAGCAGAGCAGTAGAAAAGCAGGAAGAAGAAAGCAATACTGTACATAAACTGACCTTTCTATTACCCAACCTGGCATGGGTCTCTATTGCAGAGGGTGCATGGAGAAGGGCTGATGCTATAAGAAATAAAAAAAAAAACCCACAAAAACCCTGTTTTGCACGTGCAAAAAAAAAAATAGTGTATTGGGTCAAAGAAGTGATTTTTTTAATGAGTGAAAGAGAGACATAGAGAACTCGCATGAAATATTCAGAAAATATTAGCCTAGAAAATAGAACATTAACAAAATAAAATTAATATATTAAGTTATAATTGGAATATGTTTGACAAATTTGTTTTTACGTTCATACCTTTGAAAAATATAGAAACGGATTTTAGCTCATGTATATTTTATATTAAAGAAAACAATACCCTAATGAATTGAAGACTATATATAAAGTTATATACAGTACTTTTGAACACATTCTGCTATGAATTATTTATATAAGCCAAAGCTGTATGTTGTAGCTTTTTTGTAGAGTATAGTTTTATCTTATTTTGACTTTCTAGTTTTTGCTTTCAAAGATGAAAAGGAAAAACTTGCAGGCGGAACCTTGGGGGAAAAATAAGCCATGAACACTTATATGTAAATTTAAATTTGAGCCAAACTCTTTGTGTATATAGCATCCTAAATATATTATCACCTTTGGTGTAAGTACCTATGTATTGTACGGTCACCAGATTAAAAAGTATATTTTTGTGGATTGACGCCAACTTGAAACAAGGCGAGGTCCTTATTAAGTAGAGTATTCACTGTTTAATATTTACTATTTTGTTAAATATACTGTACTTTCTTTGGATTTTAATTATTATTAATATTATTATCCAGATTTTTCAGAGGGTGTATAAAGGGGTTGGCCCCCTCACTGGTGGTGAATGTGTGCCGTTCAATTGTAATCTCTGTGCTGTATGGTTAAGCTTCATTATACATTTTATATATATGTATATAAATAGCAAAGTGGCAAAAAAAAAATCCGGTGTTAAGTTCATCCTGCATAAATATAAAAAATCTGTTACAACACATTTTAAGGCATCATTTTAAAGCTGCCTCTTCCGAGGAGAAAAAAAAAYCAGTGGAAAAACTTGACCTAATTTCTCATGATAGGGAAATGACACATATCAGAGGAGCACAAAAGGTTTTGTGAGTTGGCAAGTGGTTTGGGAAAAATTTGCTGCTTCCAAGAAACAGAGGGAGGAGTGCAGAGCCCCCTTGTGCCGCGAGACAGGGCTGGGAGCAGGTTTGGTGTTGGATGCAGGGCCATGATCCTGCCTGTGCTCACRGTCACCTCCAGGCTGGCAGTGCTAGTTCTGGGTGGAAGCTGCAGTGTTGTGGTATTGCCCAAACTCTTYGCAGTTAAGCCCTGATATTTATTACATTTTGCTTGGGCTATATATTTTTTTTGCAGTTAGGAAAATTCTTTGATGCTGTATTGGAGGGGTGAGAAGGGTGGTACAGCAGGGCTGGCTGCCCTGTGCCACTGAGGGCTCAGTACCCGTGGCCTCCAGCCCAGTCCCTCGTTGTGGTGGCAGYGTTAAAACCTGCACAGGCTCCAGTCCTTTCCAGCTGAGCCTGGCACTGCTCCCCATTTCCGTGCTTGGTCCCGGCTGCAGGAGCCGGGAGGCAAACGGGACATGTCCCAGTGGCTGCTCTGTTCCCAAATGGCCCAATTCACTTGCTGCTCCCTGGAACCTTTTGCTGCTCTGACCAGTGATGTGAGTTCCATGATTTATGCACCTGTATGAACTTTGCTGTACATCCGAGTGGGAGTTCTGCATTCACATTTACTGTCTATTTTCTTGTGTGCCTTATCAGATGGCTTTGCTGACTGTATCTCAATAGTCTTTATTTCTATGCAGGTTTTTAAACAGTACTTAACTACTGTTTTCTTAAAGACAAAGCTACACAAGGGTTAGAGTTTGTATTGAAATTGCACCAATGAATTAAAAAAAAAATAAAAGAATCAGTTCTAAAGAGCTGGGCCAGGGAGTGGCCCTGTGCTGCCCCAAGCCCAGCAGAAATGTCCTTTCACAGCCCTCCGGTCTCGGGGAGCATCTCCTGCCACCGAGGACATGGGAATCCTGGTTTTTAATAACAAGTAACTCACTTTGAAACATACTTTTTTAGAAATTGTAAAAATGTTTTATAAAAAAAAAAATAAGAAGATGACATAGCACAGATATTTCAACAGGTAAAAAAACTTTTTAAAATTATCTCTGCTGACTGAAGTGCAAGTGGATCCAATCCTGGGCTGAACCCAGTCAGGTCTGAATGATTTAAGATTTTTATCTCTGTTGTGACAAATCACCTCCATCCTCGAGCTCTCACCATAGTTTTGAGAACGCCACGTTGTCAGGGACTCGTCAGAGAGAACTGCTTTAGCCTTGCCTTCCCTCCAAGGACACTAATGCATCAGAAACTTGCGAGTTACTGTGCGCACAAGAAATACATAGTAAATAAGGAACAAAACAACTCCTAACAATTGATCCTGGGCAGAAGTTAAATCCGAATGTGAAAGAAAGACTTAACCAATGTAAACATTTAAATCTTAGTAGAACCTTTCTTCACTTTGCTGTGCAAGAGAACACTGCTTTGCTATATTTAAAATGGCTTTTTTAAAAGAGATTTATGTATTTGGTAAATGTTTGTAGTCAACAGTTCACAAGAAGCTGTTCACGGTTTAATGCTGATAAGCCGTTTGGCGGCACAAGCTGGACTTTGTTGCCATCCTTGAGACGAATCTTTTAAGAAAAAAAATAAGTTAATCTCAATTTTTTTCCCTGAATGTGTTGTTTTTTCTTCAATATACAATAAATATTCTAGTGAACTTTTTATCAAATGGTTAAGAAAATGCTAGAGGTTGTTGTAAAATATTTGTATCCTGCATTCACTAAAGTAAAGATACTGGCTTTTACTGTGTACTCCGGCCTCTCTCGTGTTTGCAGAGCACGTGGTCCTGTCTGGTGCGTCCTTGCCCCCTCCACGTGTCCACTTCAGGTGCAGGTGTTGCTTTTAAACTGCAGCCATAAGGATTTTCATCAACAGGATGCACACGTTTGGTACTACACTCAAGGACTGATGCTCACCAAGAACCTTTTTACAGAACACTTAGAGAAACTGGCAGATAAACCAGGTTTAGAGTGGAGAGCCCAAGGCCATCCTGCCTCTCCATCCCCGTTCCTCCTGCATCTCACTGTGGGTGCTGACGTGAGGCTGCGAGGGCCCYTCTAAAGCAGGTGCTCAGCTGGGTGGTAACAAAAAAAAAAGCACAAGCTGTGGCCCTTGTGCTTTTATTTCATGTGGCTTTATTTAAAAATGTAAGAATTCCCCCCCCACCCCAGAACAAAGAGATACAGCTCTTCACAGAAGAAAAATACAAGTTTTTGTTCAGTGTAAGATACTTTGGAGCTCTTGTTTACAAAATTCGGTTCCCACTTYTGAGAGCTGCAAGAAACACAGGTTCTTATTCTAACAGCACATGGTTCTGCTTGTGTGGTGTGGAGCTCCTCACCTTGCTGGAGAAGCTTCAATTCTCCCTGTCCCAACAGACATCACCAGGCTGCTCTTCTCTGGCCAGGCTGAGGTTACAGCTGCACAAACAGCTGCTTGTAGCACAGCCCTTGCCAGCTTTGCCTTTACCAGCCCCACTCCACCCCCTGCTCTTCCCCCTGCAGGCCTCGGGCTGCCAAGGGACGCTGGAAAGGCTCTGATCGTGCTGTGGAGGACAAACAACGGCTTCTTGCACCTGCCCACCAGCTCTGCCCTCACCTCAGCACCACGGGCACTGCCCACTCCAAGTCCTGTAGTGTTTGGTTCCAGGAAAGCCTGTATCTCTGCCCACAGGCCTCGAATTTTCTGAATCCAATTTCTGAGGCAAATTCTTCTGTGTAGCAAAGCTCCCAAGGCCTCCCTTGCTGCTCCCTTGCAGCAGGTAGTGTTTGCTGACTGGTGCTGAAGAGCACAGCTCTTGGGCTGACCAACGCCTCTACTGCCCTCCAAAGCTCCACTGCTTCTTCCTGCACATTGTCAGTTCACAGAAATCTGTCACCATCAGCAGCTTCACACTCTTGTCCTACACAGGCTTCACCCTTCTTTCTTCTTGGACTTCTGTCCTGGACCTTGTAACCTGTACCCAACTCAACACTTCACTCCCACCCACACTGTGCACAAGGAACAAATTCCATGGCTGAACCCGGGTGTTTGATAAGCACCACTATAGACCATTGTTAGTTTTTTTAGCAAGTAATACTGACTAAACCTCCTGCCAGCAAACGAGCCCTCGAGTGCATTTGACTCCTCTCTCCTGCTCTGCTGTCCTCTTCCAACACCTCCTGCCCACCGAGGCCAAGCAGGGCTGAGCAGTGACCCTGGACAGCACAGATCCCACACAGAGATCTCTGGATCTCAAGATCTCTGAAAGATTTCACTGTGGGAAGAGGTCTGGGCTCACCCTTCCCATTGCTGGGCATCCTAATGAACACAGCTCAAGTGTTTGCTCAGGGGGATGACAAGGTGGGTGCTGGCAGTGTCCTTGTGCCCTGGCACACCCAGCTTAGAGCTCCAGAAGGCATCATTAGGGTCAAGCACACCAAAACTATCATGGTCTACAAGAGATAAAAATGACAGTTGAAGAAAAGGAGTCCCCTCCTTCTACTCCAGCAAAAAGTGTTTCCTTAAAATGAAAACCCCAGACATTTCAACCATGTTAATACTGCACTGTCTAGCTCAGCAGCAAAGGATTTGCTTCTAGATACAGCATTAATACCTGAAGCAACCACAATGAGTAAATTGCTACAAAATACTTTCCCTCAATAGAGTTCCCAACTCTTAAGCTACCTGGGTGATGATCTCTGTAMGCAAAGCATCCTTATTTTCCCATCAATATCACATCACCTCATTTTCAGTCAAATTCAGGATTACATCATCAGCTACTTAAAAATAATCTGTATTGTTGAATCCCCTTGGATGCACTTGAGTCAGTCACAAGCGTATGGGCATCACTGCTGGAGAGGCTGGAGAGGGCTGCCCTCTCCCCTTAGGAYTTTTTTCCTACAGCTTTCCCTTCCAATCCAGCTGTCGAAACATTTAAGTCTACTGTTCTGTTAGAGGAGTGGGCCACCAGGCCTTGTGTTTTAAAATAGATGATATAGAATACCGGCAGGACAATTCCTATYAGGAGCATAATAAAAACGGCGTTCCACCACTGGATTCCACAGTCTGCACCATTCCCAGTCTCCCTCTTCCCAGCCTGGGGCAGGGGCCTCTCCAGCACGTCCACGCCGTACTCGSTGTTCAGCTGCACCTCCACCTGCACGGCGTCCTGGATGCTCTGGTCGATGCCCCTGAAGTACTCGCTGAGGCGCCGGCTGCCAGCAGAGCCGCTCGCAGCGGGCTCGGGCTCGGGCTCGGGCGGCTCCACGCGCCTCAGGCCGGGCTGGGCGGGCCCCGCCGGGGGCGGCCTCAGCGCCTCGGTGCTCTCCGTGAGCAGCCCGTGCGGCCGCACCGGGATCTTGATGGACTTCAGCGCGTACAGGTCCTGCTCCCGGATGAAGTTGTTGACCCGTTTGATATCCGCAACCTACGGAATCCAGAAAGGACACAAATGGTGAGTGCAGGACAACCCAGCAGTGAGGCAGGAGGCAGCTACAAACSAGTGTGCAAGGAGCTGTCAGAGAAAATAAGCAGGCCCTGGATCCTAGTGGTTTGGTGCTCTGCTGAGATTCCCCTGCTGCTCCAGGGCTGCTCCAGGTCCTGCAAGATACAGCCTGTTAAACTGACCTACAACCTCCTCTAGTGCTCTTGGATCTGCCGCATTTTGCTTCATACTGCTTTTCCTTTCCTTTGCTTTCTCTGCCCTTCTCTCCTTAACAGATCCTTTTAAAAACAGTTTTCATACTTTACACACAAGTGCCTGGTGAGAGCACAATGCCAGTGTGAGCTGGTGAAATCCCTCTCCTGCTCCCAGAGCTCCACCTGGGAGCACACCAGTTCTGAATGCAAGAGCACAGTCTGGAGAGCAGTTCAGCATCTCCCRCACAAGCACAGGCATCCTTTGCTCAAGCAGCACCTCTTTTCTGCAGGACAGCAGCACATCCAGCTCATTCCTCCTCAGCTGCTCAGTGCTCCTGCTGAAGGACAATTATCTCAGCACTCCTGCCACCACATCTGGTGGTTCCTGTGTAGGGTTCCTTTCTGTGAGCTGCATCCCCACCCAGAGCAGGAAGAGCAAGGAAGAACAAGAACAACCCACACATGCAGTGTCAGTCACAGGGACAGCTATGTAAGAGAAAAGGTAGTGTGTCCTTTATTTAACATTAAATAAGAGAATATGCTTAATACACTGGCCATTCACAGCCACCCAGTAAGTGCAGCAACTTCTCAGTTGCACTAAACCCTCKGTCAAAGAAAAGGAACAGGATGTCAGTGTGTGCCAGGAGCTCTCCACAGCAGCCAAGGAGATGTGAAAAAACCTTGAGGAAAAGGCTGGAGGACACAAAACAAAACAGCAAGAGCCAAACCAAAGAGAAAGACAACACAAACAGGTAAACCACCTCCTATATATCACACCAAAGAGACACAGTATAGGGACTGTGCTTGGCTCTTTCAGAAATCACAGCATGACCTGCATTCACTGCACACTCATGTGCTTGAGTCTGCCAAGGTAAGTGGGTAGCTAAAAAAAAACTGCTTTACTTCCTAAGCACTCTGCTCAAAGGTAGAGATGAGATGGATGCCTAAATCTCATGTTTACCCTGCAAAGTTTGACAACTCWGAAAATGGCACATTTAATCCAGGACCTGATCTGGGGACCCTGAGGCAAAAGGAATCCTCAGTTGCTAGTTCTGGCTCCTCACAGCCGGCCCCAGYGTAACCTCTGGACTCTAACACTGCACAATTTCTTAGTTATGAAACAACAATCTCACCCAGAGCCTCCTAACTGAGGTGCTGCTTCAATTTCTGGATTTGTTCCAATGAAAACAAATTACTGGGACAGTAAATATCCCCCGTGGTGTCTGCAATCAAATACTGCAGTGTGGTGCTAAGGCTCTAGAAACAGAAAGTGGAGCAGCACTCACACAGAAACAACAAACAAAGCTGATGGGAAGCATGCGAGAGATTGAGCTGCACAAGCATTTAGGCTTATTTTCTGTACTCATTTTTTTGGCTGCAGTGAGCTCTTCTTGTCCCAGCTAAGAACAATGCCAAAAGCAAGCCAGCACTATAAATGGTCAAGAGTAAAAATGAGAATTTTGAAGTGCTTTGCATCTCTGCCAAGTTATCTGTGGCACACACACAGAGCTATTTGTTGCACTGTCTTTAATACCCCCTCCCCAAGCAGATTCTGAAACCAATGTCAAGTTCTCACTGATTTCAAGAAGTTCATTCTGGATTTTTTAGACACATCTGTCTATGTATTTGTGGCTACAGTTCTTCCCCACTGCTGTCCTGGTGATGTTTCATGAGCAGTTTAATTGTGCAAATAAAACAAAAAAACCCTGAAAACGGTCAGTGCCAGTCTGTAAACAAGACAAATACACAAATCTCCTACAGTAAGGATTTCTGTACCTGCTCAATTTAACTGGAACAAGTCAGAAGTGCCCTTTCTGGAAGGGAAAGAGGCAGCAGGACAGTTCTTTTCTTGTGGAAGGSCAACACTGATTATGTGGTCCCTTCCAGCAGCTTGTTTTACCCCTGGGCAGGCCCAGCAGAATTCAGAGGGGGCTGAAAGGTTGCAGGAGAGGGGCAGCAGAGGAGCAGCCATGGCARGAACAGGACTGGGTCTTCTGAGTGACAGTGCAGAGGGCACAGAAGGACTTTTCACACCATAAAGCAAAGAACTGCTCAGAGTCTCCCTCTGAGTTCACCCAACTGCTGTGAGTCTGCCCACRAACAAAACACAGTCACAGCTCCCAATGCAACCAAAGCTGCAGCTCTGCCTTCTCAGGCTCTCCTGGGGCCAATCAAGGCCTATTCAAGTCCTACCACACTGCTTCTCCACACACATCAGGCTCATCAGCAGAACCTAAAAGGGAGCCTTTTTTGTTTTGTTTTTGTTTCTAAGGGCACAGGAGGGGAGGAGTTGCTGCAATCCCTCTAAGYCCTCTTGCCTCAGCTGCACCACACAGCTGCTGTGTGGTTAAGCAAGACAGACTGCAATTGCATTGCAGCAGTGGAGCCAGAGCTGTATCATTATCCCCACTGCGGTCACTGTCCAATTGTTTGCATCATGGAATTTTGAAATCACAATCCAGCTTGCAAATAAAGGAGGCTCTAAAAATACAGCTCAAACTGCTGAACAGGGAGCTTCAAATGTTCAGAGCAGGCGATTAAATTTTTCAACAGTTTTGCTCTGCTCTGGAACMAAGAAAACGTGTTGTGTAGTGTAGTCCAGCTCAGAAAAATCTTATTGTGCATACACCCTCCCTCCTGCCCACAGGCACCTGAACTGTGCATGCTTTGGGATGACAGCAAACAACCAAAACGCACACAGAGACACCACCTGGACTTTGGGATTAAGCTTTGGCACAACTCCACATCCACCCATTAGACTCAGACCTTCCTTACAAAATGTAAGAWGATACTTTTCAAAAAACAAACAAAAACCTTCCTCATAACYGTGGTGTTTTTTTCTGTRCTGCTAAATTTGCTTAAGAAACTCCAATGTTCCTTGAGAGCAGAGCCCTGACCCTTTCTACAGTCAGCTTCCTAATGTTTGTCCTCACGTAAATAACTTAGTACAACCTGCACTTAGTCACTGAAATTAAACAGGAAAGCAGGTCAGGCAGGGTGTGAGGCTGACAACATCTTCCTAGGCTGTTGGCTGAATAACTCTTTTTTGTATTTGGGGTTTTTTTTGCCTTTTTCCAGTTTTATCCAGACACTGACCATTCACACAACATTTTCCAGTGTCAAAACTGGACACCTTCCAGTCACTCTGGAAACTGCTGCACATGAAATCCCTGTGAGGTGATTAACCSCAAGCAGAAGCAGCCCTTACCTTACAGCCATACTGCAGGGCCAGCTTGTTCAGGTTRTCATCCTCGGTGATCTCCCGCTCCAGAAGCACCACGTCTGCAAGCCTGTCCCGGGCAGTGCTGCCCCGCTGCTGCTCCTTGCCCCTGGGCCGCARTTCCATCACGTTGAGCTCCTCCTCTGAGGACTCCTCTGAGTCGGATCGGCCATTGGGAAACACGTACACCTGCCTGCCCGGGAAGTTGTGGACAGTGACAGGAGCCTGGAAGGATCTCGTCCGGCTCTCATTCAGCCTCATCTTTTACACCACAGCAGCACCTGGAACAAAACCCAGACATTTTTAGTTTCCTCAATACCAGTGCTTAGTTCTTAGCACACAAGATTCAGAGAATGCACAAAAACTTGGCACGTGTGAACACCCACACACACAAAGGTTTCTTGTACCCAGGTGCAATTAGAAACAGCCATTAGAAAAGTTATGTACACAAACTGCAACAATGAGTAATTATTTTCTAAACTTTTTTCTTTTTTTGGTCTACCTCTGGACAAACCACCTTATAATACTATGCTGCTACACATTTTAAATGCTACTTTCTATTATTTTCTTTAAAAAGCAGCACAGTCACTTGAGTGAAGTCTCTTTAATTATAGTGAAAACACAGGCCAGGTCTACCACCAACAGACATTAAAAACTGAGCAAAGTTATCATTTGCATAAATCCTTAGTTCTCTACAATTCAAGAATCCCCATTTTAAGTTCTGTGAAGTGCACTTTTTTTTTTTTTTTTTAATAAGGACAGCTCAAGCTACACTTTTCTTCAACCTGAATAACAAGGCTTCATTTTGCTGCATGAAGACTAGAACCTGCCTGAGCAGTTTAATTACTGTTCACCCTACGGCTGCAAGTTGGATTTTTTTCCTTCAATCCTCAGCTCCACAAACAATTTGTTGCCAGGGTGAGGTATARGTAAGAAAACCCCATATTGTCATGGAATCTTCTTGACCTTAACATTCTCAATCTACCTCTYAGGGATTCTTCAGGTGAAACCACTACGATTTAATAGCATTTCCTTGGCCCCGGGCACAGCACTCACAGCTGCGGGGGAGTTCAACAAGCAGCACCAGGCTGAACTCTGCTGCGGGACACTCCGGCCTCCCCGACACAGCTCCCTTCGTAAGGAGTGCCAAACTCTTCCCCAAACTCCTCTGGGACCCCAACCCCGTCAGCACTTCAGGGGGATCCCGATCTCTTCAGAGGTCCCGACCCCTCAGCATTCCCAGAGTCCCGCTCCCCACAGGCACCCCCATCCCCCCATCTCCTCAGTGGATCCCGCTCTCCTCAGGAGCTCTCTCTCCCYTCAGCGCTTCAGGGGACCCCGATCCCCTCAGCATTTCAGGAGAGTCCTCCTTCCCTCAGGGTGCCCCGTTCCCCTCGGCATTTCCAGGGGTTTCTGCTCCCCTCAGCGCTTCAGGTCACCCCAACGCCCTCAGCACTCCAAGAGGGTCCCGATCCCCTCAGAGTGTCCCGCTCCCCGCCGGGGCCCCACTCTCCTCAGCTCTTCATGGGATCGCGCTCCCCGCCAGGGGCCCCGCTCCCCTCAGGGTGTCCCGCTCCCCTCAGGGGCCCCGCTCCCCTCAGGGTGTCCCGCTCCCCTCAGGGGCCCCGCTCCCCTCAGGGGCCCCGCTCCCCTCAGGGTGTCCCGCTTCCCGCAGGGGCCCCGCTCCCCTCAGGGTGTCCCGCTCCCC